TATTTTCTTGTCCATGTTTGTCCCCTTCTATGGTTGTCATCGCGCAGCGGAACATTGGTGACGTTTCGATGGTCACTCTTATTTTCGACAGAAGAAAATGTAAGTTATCGTGCAATGAAATTCTTTCATATAGAATATGTAAAAAATATGAGAACGCGTCAAAAGACACGACCACATGCTCACAGTCAGACACTTACACATGCAGACCCATCTGAAGTCACAAGCACAGTACGAGCACAATAGGCAGACACACTGATATGTAAAAAACGAAAAGGAAAAAAAAAAAAAAAAAAAAGTGTTAGGTTGGCGCGTGCGGGCCGTTTCAACAAGAACAGTTACCATCATTTGGTAGACGGCACCCGGTGCCCAACCATGCATAAAGGCTGGCGATACTGTTGTTGTGTGTGCGACCCTTCAAAAGTGTGTTGCATTGCTTGTGCAAAGTTGAGATTCATACATATATATATATATATATATATATATATATATACTGTTTGTGACGATATATATATATACACACAGAAAGAGAGAGAGAGAGAGAGAGAGAGAGGAGAGTAGGTCTCTTTGAAGATCTTGTTCAGAGGCGAAAACCTCAATCTCTGCCATTCTGTTTTTCCTTCCCCCCCCTCCCCCCCCCCTCTCCCCGGTCTTTGGACTGAACGTGACTGTTGTCGTTGCACTGACAGACGGACTCAGAAAAAGATAGAAAAATGACAGCAATGACGGCGGAATAAGTGGAGAGAGCTGAGAGAGAGGTGATGAAGTACGTGACAGAGGGAATGCACTATGACAATGACGACGAGTTGAGACTATTACGCAAAAGAGCACCGGCGTACTTCAACGTCACCTTGGACATCTAGAGGTCAATAGCAGCGAACGAAGAGAAATCGACAAGAGCGCAGCAGTTGCTGCATCGCTTACAACAAAGTGCGTACGTGGTTAAAGACAAGACGTTGGCATGTTGCTCTGCGTACACCCTTCAGCGACTTGTGGAATGGATGTGTGATAACGAAGACATCGACAAGAGTAAGAGAGAGGGAAATGGTTTTTACGACAGATCAGCGTTCAATAAGTTTGTCACGTCTCGGGCGAAGGAAGCTTGAATGTTGAAGACAGAAACGCATGACATATTGAAGAGTAATGCAGCAGAGATATTGACACTCAGCAGGATGAACGAGCTACCTCAAACAGACCCTGTTGACTACCATGATTTGGCAACAGTGGTGGTGGACGATGTCGAGTATGTCTTGCTCGATCAGATTATGGATTTCATGTTGAAGACAGATAATGATACAAATTTGATTCACGAGGCCTTGCACGAGGTGATAGAGGACGCAATAGCAGTAGCAGAGCTTGCTGATGTCGGAAGCACAAAGGATGAAAATCAACTAGTGTCGGGGACTCCAATATGTCAGGGGGACATATTCACAGTCCTGGAGGACCTTACCAGGACATCAACGAAAGCGGAGAGAATGAGCAAAAGAATGCAAGGATGGCAATTGGTTGTTGCGGAAGCAATCAATGCGACACACCATATGCCAGAGAGCACACTGCAGACTACAAGTGGTGTGGGATGTGTAATAGCGGTTCAGAACCCGTTGACGATTCCTACTGCGGATACGTTGAGTGTCCATAATGCATTCCGAGCGTGGAGATTACCACCCTTTCGTCCTTCACATGAGATCATCGAAGGACACGAACAAGTGGCATTCCAGGGAATGCATGCAGATGGTGGAACTAGTGAGAGTGGCAATGCACAGACAGGGGATAATGAGAAACCGCCGTCATGCGAGGTGGGATTGAGTGGCAGTAATATCTGCGATGACGAGGAGGATGACGAATACGACTCTTATTGGGACGTTCAGCGTGGTGGTAGACAGGCCTCGAAAAGGTGTTGTCATACAATTTTAAGGTTGGCACGTGTTTTCGCGGAGCCACACCCGTTGATACGTGTTGCGGACAAGGCAATAACACCGGACGGGTCTCTTCAGTTCGCAGGCGTTAAGGCAGTTATGTCATGCATGAAAAACGGCAAACGATGGCGTCGCACAGGAAAATCATGGTTTGTTCTCGTACATAAGGAGACAATTCTTATGACATCAATGTCATGGGGTGTGAACCTCAGTTGCATCATACATGGAGCAGTTTCCACTGCATGCGGATGAACCGTGCATCCCACAATGTCAACAGCACATGCAATTATAAATGCACAACCAAAACGCCGACTCTCTCTCACGACAGACGACACCATCGATGCTGCGATGCACAGAGGACATTCAGAGGAAGAACATTCGAAACGCAGAAAATTATAGGACTCTCTCTCTCTCTCTCTCTCTCTCTCTCTCTCTCTCTCTCTCTCTCTCTCTCTCTCAACTTGACTCTGTTATTGTTTTGACCGTATCACAGTCACTCACGCTTGTGATGATGTGGTTGGGAAGTGGGGGCCATATATAAAGATGTTGTTGGTATATTACGGCGTATGTGGCACCCACTTCCCAACCTTGTACAAATGTGAGTTTTTTTATGTCTTTATTGTTGAAATTGCATCACATTTACAGATCGGTCTTCCAGATACATTCGTGACGATATCGTTGAGATGTCGGGGCCGTGTATTAACATATTGTTGTTGTATTCCTCCATAAGTTACACCCAATTGCCAACTTTGTTGAAATATTGCAGTTACACAAATTGGTTCCTAAGTCATCCTTCTCTCTCTCTCTCTCTCTCTCTCTCTCTCTCTCTCTCTCTCTCTCTCTCTCTCTCTCTCTCTCTCTCTCTCT